GTTGCTAGCTTGACTTTCAATTGATCCAGTGGGGTGAAATAAATCAACCAATTACCAAAAGAAAATGGGCATTGAGACTTGGTTTTTGACATAAATGTGTGTTCAGCTTGTAATAAACTATATGTGTATGAGTGTATAACACACAGATGCACACACATACATAACATCTATAGAGTTTAAACACTGAATGATTACATTTTATATTATATCTGAAACACACCAAGTTGAATTACATGATTAATTCTTATGGGTAAAATTATTATGGTAGGCACAATTTCAAATGTAAAATTATATGTGAGGAAAGGTAGCATTGTATTCACTTTCATTATTAAAATTAAAAACATAAATTTGCAAACACTCTGGAGTGGTAAGATATAATACCTAACCCAGAAGAAAATGACAGATTCATTGCTAGAAGTGAAATTAATATGCTAGGAAAGGACAGAGATTGAATGTGAAACATTATAGAAAATCAACACTAAATAACAGAAACTTTTATGGTGTTCTCAATGATAAAAAGTAAAGGGCTCTTGAAGTACAATATGAAAGCTACATTTTCTTAAGAAAACAAATATAAAATGTTTTTTATATTGGCTATAAGGCCAGTAAATTAATTTTAATCTAAAGTGTAAAGTTGGTGATTGAAGAAGACAGGAATGTTAAAGACTATAGAACCACCTGGAAGGAATAAATAACCAGATGTCACAGGAAATCAGAGTTATTCCATAGAAATATTGTTTAGTGGGTCAACCAACTAAACTCCAGTCAGCAAGGTTAGGAGGAAGTAGGCCAGTCTGCCTGTGCACTGACATTATGAGCCTCATACCATCTCCCATCATGAGGATTCCTGAAGTCTCAGCGACTTCAGAGCCTGTTGGAGGAGGATTGCTTGAGCCCAGAAGTTCCAGACTAGCCTTGGAAGCGTGGTGAGAACCTGTCAAAAGAAAATCGAAGTAGACTGGCTTTAGATTTTGTTCTTTTTCTGGAAGAAGACTCAATATTTTTGGCTCAGAAGGCTTATTTTTTAAATTAAAGGTAACTTACATATGAAACTTAGGAAACATGAAAATGTATTTAATATTTGTAGTTGGCTAGTGGACTGTGAGGGTGGGAAAGTCTAGGAAAAGAGGAATGGGATAGAAAAAAAAGATACAGGGGCTGGGAAGTTGGCTCAGTGGTAGAGCACTTGCCTTGCATGCCTGAGGCCCTGGGTTCGATTCCTCAGCACCACATAAGCAAAAAGAAAAAGCCGGGAGTGGCGCTATGAGCGCTAGCCTTGAGCTGAAGAGCTGAGGGACAGCACTCAGGCCCCACGACTGGACCCCAAAAATAAAAGAAAAAAAAGATACAGGGTGTTGAGCAATAGAAACAAGGGAAAGTGTGAGAAAGCCACAGAGGAAGAGAATTAAGGGGGATTAATAGCTAGCAGATACAGAGGATCTATGGATTTCAAAGGTACTGTTTGGGGCATATGCTCTACAGTTTACCTGATTTGTTTACTTATGGTTATTCTGAGGCTTGAGAATTTATACCTTTGAGCCTGGAGTCTTTTCCATGTGCCATGTGAACATCTGGCCAAAGGAGAACAAAGCATATTTAACCATAGTAATAACAGAGTGGATCAGCCATAGATCTGAAGAAAATCAAATCAACGGGCTATTCTCTCACTATGGGTTTCTTTCTCTAACCTTGTTTTGAAGGAAGGGCATTGAATTGCAGTCTGTCTTTTATTGTGGGATTTGTAATCAACACTGGATTTCTTAAAATAGAAAGTTCTTGATCAGTGAAGAAGACATTTTGAAATTTAAGTTTAATGACCTCTCTTCAGTTTCCACTTGAGACATCTTACAAAGATGAAAATTTAGTATCCACCCATTAGTCTGAAATTACTTAAAACAAATACTAAATGATGACTCTGAAATACCATTGGCTTTTGATGATAACATTTTTAAGACAGCAAGTCACATTGTTTGCTTGACTAGACACATCATATATTTGTATCACGTTATAACATTGGAGTTAGTATCCTTTCTAGAAAACCTTGTACCTGGTATAATGATCAGTTGAAAAGAGTTTATCTTCTTCACACCAGTAGAGTGCATAACATTCTAAAAAAAAAACTAAAACGTAAGTTCTTTGAGTGATTTAAGTGCACTGGACATTGTCCCATCTCCGATCTGGTTTTCTTCTGTTTGCCTGATTTTTTTTTTGACAGTACTAGTTTTGAACTCAGGATTTTTCATGCTTACAAGGCAGCCTCTGATTATTTTTGAAAGACAGTCTCACTTTGGGCATAGTCTATACTGGGTCCCAATTCTCTTATTTATACTTCCTACTGTAGATAGGATGACAGATAAATCCCACTGTGTCCCAATTTTCCTGCTGAGATAGTGCCTGATGAACTTTTTGCTAAGATTGGTTTCAAACCACTATTCTCCTGACCTCAAACTCCTGAATCGCTAAGAGTACATGTGTGAGCCCATAGTGCTCAGTGTTTTTGCCTGATTTTGATATTGTGGCCCAATTCAAAAACTATTTATAGATCATATGGGGTACCTGTTATTTATGACTATTATTCTTCCTAGAGAAAAGTTAGACTTATTTCTCCTGTCCAGAATATTTTTAATTAATTTTATCTTTCATTTTATTTCACTGGTCACAATCAACTTCCAGAAAAATATATGAATAATCATATTTTATTTAGATGCATCTCCCTATATTGCACATCTTGTATAGACCACCCCATTCCATCACTCTAATGCTACCTATGAAGCAGATACTATTATTCTTATTTTGTAGACTGAGGAAATGAATGCCAGAGAGTTTAAGTTATTTACGCAGCATAGTTCCTCTTAGTGTTTTAATGAATAGTCATACTTTTGTCATCTTCAAAGAAAGCATGGGCATATGTGCTCAAAATATTCTTTTAACTATATGTAGTTGAAAAGCTCCCAATTCAAATGTATTTACTGGTGGTACATAAAATACTTCATATATGGTTCTCCTTTTTTATAAGCCTCACATATTCACTTGAGAGGATAGTTAAGTTATAGGATGGAAAAACTTGACATGCAAAAATTACAGTGCATCCCAGAAGAGTTCTAATTATAAGGACTTCTTAAATCTAAAAGTTCTTCACTTTGACTTGTGAAGCATGGTGTTTTACACTAAAGGTGTGGTTTGAGATGAATTTCTTTCAGCAACTTGGTTTTCTTCAAAAGCACTCAAAGGGAGGTGACCATGAGGATTCTTGCTGCTGAAGATCAGAATAACAAAATAAGAGATGGTACCAGAGCAGTTTCATTTTGAAGAGTTAGTACTGTGAAGCAAAAGAAGACCACACACTGGCATATGCTGTATGGGCATAGCATGTAAACATAGGTGCATTTAAGGCACATGATTGAATAAGTCCGTTTATGCATTTTCTGCTCAAATACAACCCTATTGTGAAGGCTGATTGTTAATCTTTACATATATTAAAATTTTTTTAGTGTAGAAGCATTGGGCTTGATGATGGGGGAAATAATAGGGAAAGATTGTCCTTGTTCTCCAAAGTTCCTGCATACTATGGTATGTATACTACTACTTTGTAGTGGTGGGGTGAAGTAGAAGAGATGTTTATAGAAAGTTTCATGATTCTACAGGGGGTAGGTAATGGACTTTCTGGAGGAGATGATGTCTGATCTGAGTCATGAAAAGGAATAAGCAGTTCATCAAAACAGAACAATAGTAACTGTAACCCCTCTGCACAGTATCTTTACAATAAAAAATATATTTAGAAAAACAGAAAAATAAAGGTAGGGGGCCTTCCTGGACACAGCAGGCGCAGAAAAGGCACTAGAAACACTGGTGTGTTGTTGGATACAGATCTCTCATTTTTGTCTCCTTATTCTTTTCCTGTGGTTTTAGTCAATCAGAGTCCAAAAATATTATATGGAGAGTTCCAGAAACAAACAATTCATAATTAAATAACTTTTAATTGATGATACTAGTATAATTATCTTATTACTACTGTTGATAGTTTCTTACTGTGCTTAATTTAAACTGTGTCCCAATGATGCATGTATAGGAAAGAACATGTATAGGATAGACAGGGGGTTCAATATTTACTACTTTCAGGTTTTAGAGAAACTAGCACTGATGGCCAGTACATCCTCTGTATTTAAGAAGGGACTATAATATAGAGATGAGGCAGAGATAATAGTGAGGATGTAGTTGTAGGCCAGTAGACTATCTTTACAGGGTTGATAGGACTTTACATTTCTAGTAACAATGAGCTTTCATGGAGTTTAAAGCATTTGAGGGTCAAAGACAAATTTAAACCATAGTAGACCACTTCCAGAGCTATGGAAAATGGTTCTGTGGTAAAACCAGAATTTGGAACCCAGTCTAAAAGGATGTTGTAGAGAGTCAAGAGATGGTAAGGGTTTGAACCAGTTTTTGGTGTTGGGGACTGGATAATATTAATGGAAGGATTGTTTGGGAGAATAATTTGTATCCTCTCAATGCTTATTGAAAAGTGGATGGATATAGATGGATATAGATCATGATTTCTTAATGGGGTTGAGGAAGACCAGAGAATGAGTAGGAACTAACTGGCCAGGTTAGAAGCATGGCTGATTTAAATAGTCTCCATTATGGCATGGATGGTTTAGTGTACAGCTTTGAGAAAGGGCTCTTTGGTGACACACTTGGGTGTTGTCAACCTCTAGAGGTATGCACAGACTCTTCTGTGCTGTACATTGTGTTGTTCTATCATTTTTTATATCCTAAAGCAAAAACTTATGTCTCCAAAAAAGGAGTCAGCAATTAGTACCGTGTCTCTGGATGATAACAATAGGATTGTCCTGTGAAAAAGGAAATACTCCAGGAAAATGTAAGTAACCAATGGCTATTGCTTTCTTCCAGCTGTCGGTGGGGATGCCTGCCCCAGAGGAATATTCCTTCAGCTGACCTCATTTTTTTAAGAGCCCTGGCTTTGTGGCTTTGTCCAGTTCAAAATGGCAGAAAAGGCTCCCCCTAGCTTGAACAGGAAGACATCAAGATCAACGCTTTCTCTTCCTCCAGAACCTGTGGACATTATCAGGAGCAAATCGTGCTCCCGGAGAGTTAAGATCAACGTGGGAGGCCTCAACCACGAAGTCCTGTGGAGAACGCTGGACAGGCTGCCCAGGACCCGCTTGGGCAAGCTCCGAGACTGCAACACACACGAGAGCCTCCTGGAGGTGTGCGATGACTATAATCTAAATGAGAACGAGTATTTCTTTGATCGACATCCTGGAGCCTTCACGTCTATTTTAAATTTCTACCGGACAGGGAAGCTACACATGATGGAAGAAATGTGTGCACTCTCCTTTGGCCAAGAGCTCGATTACTGGGGGATTGATGAGATCTACTTAGAGTCCTGTTGTCAAGCCAGATATCATCAGAAGAAAGAACAGATGAATGAAGAGCTGAGGCGAGAGGCAGAGACCATGCGTGAGCGTGAGGGAGAAGAGTTTGATAACACCTGCTGCCCTGAGAAAAGGAAGAAACTTTGGGACTTGCTGGAGAAACCTAACTCATCAGTGGCTGCAAAGGTATGAAAAGCATGGCACTGGGTGTCTACACATGGGCAGAAAAGGGGTGCCCTAGTTCTACCGGGGGTCATTTTCTTCATATTTTTGGTGAAAAAGAACAAAACACGGCTACCCCATGAGAAATCCTGTCTAATGTCTTTACCTAGTAGGATATAGTCATTCTTTCTGTGTGATGTCATAAAATGGTGTTATGCTTTCCTAAATACTATTATTTCTAGTAACAGGCCTGAAAAACAGGGTAAAGAAAGGATTTTGTTTTCCTTGGCTCCATATGGTGATGGTGACTTAGTAGTTAAGGAGAAAGCTCTACCTCAGACCCATTAGAAAGCTGTACCTCAGACCCATTAGGCACATTTTTGCAGAAAACCGGGATTCACACGCCATCTTGGACAAAGGGAAGATGCTGTCATTGAAAGTAGAGGTGTCTCTTTGCTTGGTTCTGTAGAGGTTCAGAGAAGGAGAGCAAAATATGGCCCTGTGTAGCTCAGAAGGATGGGGGTCACATGCCAAAGTGAGGATCTATATTACAAAGCTTACTCATTCTTTAATGAGTCAGCCTACAGGATGTATGGCCATTGACTTGTTTTGGGCTTTAACAGTGCTGTATCTGATGTTAGTTTATAGTTTTTTTTTTTAAAGTTAGTAAGGTATTGCCATTATCTCAGACTTCTTACAGAGTTTGCTTAAAGATAAATTTTTATTTTTCATTGTACATGTATATAACTAAATCTCAGAATCAAATTTTTGTCACACATTTCAGTATGCAATTCACCTACATAATGTTGTTTATGTAATTTTATATAGGACTTTAAAGGTTAGTGCAAACTCACATTTATTTCTTATATTTAGTTCTATATTGCACTATGAATGATGAGTCATCTTTAGCTGTAAGAGACTAGTCGCTATGTTTTGAACATGAGAGATGAAATGGAGAACGGGATGGAGAATGGAGAGTGTGTCATTGTATGCACTCTTACTTACAGGTTTTTTTGAATATCCTCCCTCTTATAAGTTTTTAATAGTAATGGAGTGTAAAAGTCCATCAAAACCTTTTGATGAGAAATTAAGGTTCTAACCAATAATCTGCAATATAAAAAACCAGAAGATAATTATAAAACTTCTCATTGTTTGATTTGTCTGATTTTGTTTCTCTTTGCCTTTTAAAAGCATTTATTTTCTGCCAGAATTTATACACAAATGGAATAAAATTTCCTTCTTTTGCATAAATTAAGACATACATATTTTGTGGCAAATAGAGGATTTTAACTAAGGTGTTTTTGTAGTCATAAATCCTTTGTTTTCTTTAATTATATCAATAAGAAAGAAATGTGGTTGATAAAAGATGTTGCTGTTGGCTATGTCAAGTGTTCAGTTATATATTTGAGTTGCTATTGAAAATATGGAATGAATTTGATGGACCTTAGTTTTAAGTGGATATCATGAACATTAAATTAACTTTTTCAAGACATTAGAGAACTGAAGTGCTGTTCATTTTCCATCAGCTAAATCAAAGAAAATGTGAGAAGTTAACATACTAACATACTTACATGTTCATAAAAAGTTATTAACATTATTAGTAAGTTAAGTACTGTTGCTGTAAAGTGTTTTAATTCTATATGTGTTTTTTCTTAAAGAATTTTTGGAGTAGATTTATTTTCCAATTGAGGAAATGCATTTTATTTCTAAGTTTTGAGGCAGCAGTTATCTATCTCTATGAAAATAAAATGGTTTGTTAAAATATATTATTATGTATCATATACATTGGTCAGATGACTTAAACCTGTTTCAACTTATGGATTTATGTATAGATAAGCTCTCTACCTACAAACTCCCCCCATAGCTAAAAACACTGATTTTTCAAAATTTCATGGAGCTGTGTAATTTTTCCTTTACATAATGAAGTGAAGTGAATCTTTGCTACTTCAAGTAGATTATTTTCATAAAGGATTATGTTTGTTCATTTAAACCTCTACATTTTCTTCTCTGAATGATGAAATATTATGGAAATTATTTACATTTGCTTGTGTAGTCATTTAGTAAAACTATTGCTCATTTGTCTGAGATTTAGAGCCTTTAAAAATTAGCTCCGTATGATGTCTTATGTAAACCACAGTCCTTTTCTGCATACTTCTCAAGTCCTATAACTTGTTATTTTTCTGAAGTAATCCTTGGTGTGGGGAGGGTGCTAATGCAGGTATGTGTGAATTGTATTTTCGTATATAATAAAACAAGTGGTTTTATTATAGCTGCAGTAGGATGATATGTCAGCCCTCACTTTATACTATGGATGCATCAGGCTTCTAAATATGCATGAAGCTGTTGTGTGGGATTACTTGGAATTTCTGAAGTCTTCATTACTGGCTTAGATCATCCTGAGAGATCTTTAGGGGAGGGTATCTGTCTACCTTGCTTTTGTGTGTTATTCACTTTTGTCATTTACTTGAGCATGTGCTCCAGATAGGCCATCTGCATTAAAAATAGAAATCTAGGGAAGAAAAAAATGTGGTCTCCCTTCTCCCCAGAATTGCCTTTACCAAGGATTTCATATCATTGAAAACACTTGTTTCTTTTCCCTATTCATTTTCCTATATTTTAACTTGTCTATAAAATATAAGTTAGTAGATTATTTACCAAATCCATTTGCCAAGGAAAACCTTTTTATCACATGTTTCATAATAAGTTAAAATACCTGTTTGTTTCTATGGGACAAATACTGAATAATAATTATAGTAATAGTAATATGGTATATATATATATATATAATATATACTATATATAATATAGTAATAGTAATTATTGTTCACTAGACAGTTACTACAAGACATGTTGCCCCATCATACTCTGCCCCTGGATATAACCATAGCAATCACAGGTCAGCCCTTATACAACAGGATATCTGCTATCACATAGAGGGTCACATTATTAATTGAATTTTCTGATGTTAATTACTGAAGTAAAAGCTAAAATAAGACTTAAGAATATAGTAAATTTGCGGTTTTTATCTTTAAAAATCAGTATTTATGCCTATACACCAATTGTGCTTTCTATGACAGGGTACATAGAGATGTTATTTGGTGACCAGGGATGCAAGCTAGTGTTAATCTAGCATGTTTATGACCTAGGTTTGATTCTCATCACAGAAAAACACAAAAGAAAACAAAAAAGAAGAACAGTTCTCTCTTTTTCTCAGGAGCATGGTAGGATCTCTTCTTGCGACCCAAATTTATGTTTATAAAAGACTTTATTGTCTTTCAATTCTGTCAGAATATATGGATATACCTTCATGTAGAGATAATGTTCAAAATTTAAATTTGAGGCTGGTCATGAATGTGTGACCAACCCACAGTGGCCCAGGGAATGGTTGAGACAACTTATTGGCTCTGGTCTACTCATTGGATTGCATAAAGCCAGGGGATAGGCTTACCTGGCTGTGAGTTTCTGCCTGAATATGTACCCACAAGCACAACATGCTTCTCTTCTTGAACTTAAAGGAAGTCATATGTGGTTCTTTTACAATACCTTTCTTTTTTTCATTCAGAGTATTCGAAAACTGTGACTTTACCAAGGGAAAAGAAAGAATGGGTTTCATTCTTATTCTTTTGTAGTAGCTTTATGCTTTTCTTTGTGAAAAAAATCAAAACAGTCGTCATTAAAACCATAAATGGACCAAAAAGATGAACTGATGTAGTGTGAGTACATACAGAAGTTTATCTATATTGAGCCATTGCTGTGCAGTGTGTAGGTCTGTAATTCTTACGTAGGATTGGCAATGGGTTTATTAGAATGACAATTTCAATATTTTGGTGTCCTTTCTCCTGTCCTTCCTACTTCCAGACTGTATAGATTAAGCCCTTTGTGCTGTTCCAGTAAAATACAAACAACACAAGCAGAGGGAGTTTCATAGAATGTGGCTAGTCTATGAAAGTTGAGCTGGGAGAATTTTTGTCTTAAAAATTATATATATATATATATATATACATATATATGTACACACACATATATAATGCATTTAGCCAGAAAGGAATCATGGAATTAGTCATAAGATAAATATTGGGTTTTGATACAGATGTCTCAAATATTCCATTGTGTAGCCCCAGCTGTCCTGTTTTGATGTTCATGCATCACTGTGTTCCTGAAAAGGCTGCCTAGCAAAGGTACCACTCCCAGAATCATAAGGGCAAGCAGAAATCCACAGAAAGTCCACTCCCTATGTCCTCTTGCAGAGACTGCTTTTATAGAGATAGCACTATTATTTGTCTATATCTAATTACAATAGTACCTCCCTCATAACAGTTTCTCCATTAGCCTAATAAGTAACTTGACTATCATATAAGTGATTTGTTTTTTTCAGTGCTGGAGATCCAACCCAGACCCCTCCCCATGCCAGGCAAATTCCCTGCCACTGAACTACAAACTGAATAGTCTTGAGAAAGGAAAAAGAAAAACATACTTAAGAATCATGAATATATTCTTCTTTGTTTCTTGGTTACATATGAGGAGAGCCCATCTTGATTTATAAAGTGTTTTCCATCATTTAAGACAAAGTCATTGGTTTCCATCCATATTAAGAGAAGATCCTCAAATTTCCTTTAAATTTGATTTTTAAACCTCAACAAGTAATTATCATTTTCAAAGCAAAGAGAATAATGAGGAGCTCTGTCTACATTACTTAACATTATCACAACCCAGAATATATTGGCAGTATTTGAATATTCTGGCTGTGAAAATCCATGTACACTGCTTGCTTAATAACAGATTTGTTTTCCTTATTTCAAGTGAGAGACTTTATAAAGTGAATAATCTGCTATTTTAGGTAAGCATAAGTATTATGAAGGAATGGTCACAATATTTAATGCTCTCCACTTTGGAAGACTCTAGAAGGATTTGAACAATGTTTGAACAAGTACTCTTAGCTTTATCTCTCATTTAAAAAAGGAAGAAGAGAAATGAATGCTTTTAAAATGGGAAGAAAATTTCTATGGCACAGGTATGACCTCAGA